GAATCGATTACGGATAACTGATTAGAAACTGATTAGTGGGTCAAACGTATTACAAAATTATTAATTTTTTGTTGTTACGTTAGCTATATAAACCGGCCTCAATGCTGTAAATATGAATCGTAATCAATAAATGGTGGCATTAAGGAAACTTCTTAAAATTTCAGGGGAAAATAACAGTTAAAAAACTAGCAAATAAACAACGCAAAAAGAATAAACTTTCGGTAAATCTTAAAAGTATTTTCATATATTGAAGTTAAAAACATCAATGAAAAAACATTTACAGTTTGTAAATGCACATGAGCCCAGTACTTCAATATGGGGGAACTAAATTTGAGATAGTGTTCTTAAATATTTCAGTTTAACAGTTTCAAAAAATAGATCTAAAGAATTAAAACAATCATATAACTTTTTATATGATAGTAATTAACTTAGTGAGTGAACTATCTCTGCAACATTAATGAATTATTGGAAAAGTCGGAAAAGGAAAGTGTCACTTAATAATTAATCTAAAACTACACGAGGCACAGAAAGTAAAAGTTTTTTTTTTATAAGGAATATATAAAAATGATTGTTTTTACCTATTTGACAGGTATATATCCAGATTTGTCAATTCTCGTAAACATACAGTAATCTCGCGTGTACAAGCCGCATCTTTGTTTCCAACCCCTAATTAAAAAAAAAAAAAAAGTCGTGGATGAGTTGCCGATATCTGCAGTCCACCATTTACAGTATTTGTTTCGTTTTAGAAGGGGGAAATCAGCTATAATAAACAGTATTTAACACATATTAATTTAAATTCTTTATTGTCAGTCAAAAAGAACCTGTTTCTCTGTTTACCACTTCTTATTCACTGTCTCTTTGGTACTCCTAAAATATTTGCCTGCACTAAAATCACTATTGCTGGTACCACAATACGTTATTCCACAGCATCTCATCCTCTAGAGCCATCTAGAGCACTGGATATTCCTTACTTCAAAAATCCTTTAACAATTGTTCCTGTTTTCCTCAGATAGTCGGATAACCTGTAGTTTAAAATGTGTATCGTAACTAAATCGTTCGCTTTATATTTTTTAAACGACCTGAAACCATAACTAAAATTGCTTAAGATATTTCTCCCGCTTTCTTAGCGAGCCTCCGTTCAGTAAGCTCAGGTTTTTATTCTTATATGTTGGTAAATTGTGCATTTTTTGCTTTAAAAATGATTGGATTATGTTGTTCCTATCTTTCGGTTAAGGTTTTTATGCATTTAGCTAACCTGCATGCAATAGTTGTAGAATTATCAACAAGTTGTTTAAGTGCGGATAATCAGCATAATTTTTTTTAACCATAGCACCAATATTTGTTTAAGTTTGAAACTTAGGAGAATAGTGAATTAAGTCTTTCTGCCTCTTCAGTGTCTTTTTGCAGAGTGGGACCAAAAGGAAACTTTGAGTTTTGTGCACCAAAAAATCTGCCTTTTTGCCTAGTGGCCAGATTGCTTGTTTTTTGCCTAGAAACTCTAATTTTAATTGTAAATTTTTTAATTGTCTTAACTGTATTTGGTGTTTTATGTTTTTCTATTGTTTTACATTTTTAATGAAAATGTTTTGAGTTTTTATGTATTTTTGCTTTTCCATTTGGTCAGAACAGCATTAATTGAATGAGAAGTATACATGTAATGAAATTCGAGGAAATAAGTTTAAATGAAATGCAGAAAAAATGCGTATAATTTAATATTCCGTACAAGGAAGGCATGTAGTGTACACAACAGCTTTTTTTTTAAATATTTAAGCAATGACTATTGTCTGGAGCTTCTATGATTTAGGTTAAAATAACACGCTGAATAATGATTATTGGAGACGTCGAACAACAAGCATCAGGGTATTATTTGTAAATATTGCAGGACTAGTTTCGATGGTTTTAATACCTACTAACTTAGGATAAATATTAGTTGGTCCCTTCACTTCTTCATAACATTACAGATTCACCTGCCTCAGCTGCCTAAGTGGAAATAAACGAGATAAGATATGGTAATAAGAAAACATAAGAATAGCTGGACAGAAGTTAAGCTACCGGGGCCATCTAATGATTAAAGAAAAAAAACAAAACATAGTTTTCTTAAAGGCTGAAGGTAAAGATGGATTGGAATCAGGATCTCTAACTAGAATATTTTTTTTTAAATATGAAACGACTCTAGAATATCTAATTCATCGATATAAGATGTTTCTGTTTTAGTTAACGACCCTAATTCTAATCTAACTTTACATTCAGCCTTTAAGGAAATTATGTTTTAGTTTTCTTGTTTCATCAATAGATGGCGCCAGTAACATAAATTCTATCCAACCGTTCTTATCTTATCATCACATCTCAAGAATGTCCATATATCTGGAAAGTTGTTTTCTTTATTTTCACGTAGAAATACAGTTGAATATTTAGAATGTATTGGCCCTTTTCAGTACAAGTTTTAATAAAAGCGAGTTTTGATGCTCGACTCAATAAGAACTAAATATTATTCACTTAAACATTTTTATATGTAATAACATTCTGACTCCTAAACATTTACTCATCAGTGGTTGAAAAAATAAAGCTGGTACGACTTGACCTCAAATCCCGGCGAATTGGTTGGTTTCATTGGGGATTCGTAGACCCATAAATATTAGATAGGTTACCTCCTTATGAACTCATACTTGTTTTTACGCAGGTAACCCTCATGTACACTGCGGAACCAAAAAAAAAAAAAAAATGTGACAGTTATGTATCTCCGTTCTACTGGGGCGATTGACGAAATTCAACTTTCGTTTTTCATGTATCAATAGCCCAACTTAGGATATGTATTAGATTCATATATAGCATTGTTCTAATATAGGTATTTTGACAAAAAATCGGACTTTTTCTGAAATGGCATGCCAATTTTTTTCCATGTCTCGATTCTACGACTCAAATTATGCCAAACTGCCAAGTTTTGTAAACATTGCCACCAGTAGTTCTTAAACAATTAGCTGCCAAAATTTTAGCTTCTCAGTGTTAATTGAATTTGGTATATATTTATTAATATATCTTTTTTTTTAAATATTAAACTTGTTTGATTCTTCCTTTCACATTTCAAAATTTAAGTTCATTCCAAATAAATCTCGTCCATTTTTTTATGATTTATTTTAATTTTTTTTATTTTTAAATAACTTTTATAAATTTTTCGAAAATGATTTTGAATTATAATCTATAAAAGTTTTACTACCATCTTAAAGTAGATGTATTTATAAGCAAACCTGCAAAAAAATTAAAGTTTCTCATTCAAAATTTTCGAAGACATACGTGATTTTATATATTGGTGCGTTTGAAATTTGGCATGTTTGTTGAAAGCGATAATAACATCAAATGGGGTTCAGGCACTTTGTTAAAATTATATGAAAGTAGGAGCGATGTAACTTTTTTCCCGATCATGCACAATATAAAAAGTGAAAGGAAAATAGGTTGCCATATATTAAGAATACTGGCAAGTGAATTATTCTTGGAGCAAACTGAAAGAACACCACCAAGGTAAATTTTTGAATTTCTTCGTAAATTTCGCCCCAAATTTTACAAAATTTAATATTTAGGCTTTATTTGAGTCGTATAATCGAAATATGGAAAACCATTGCGTGTCATTTCAGAAAAAGGTCCGATTTTGTTTCAAAATAACTATATTATAAAAATACTATATATAAATATATGTCCTAAGTCGCGCTTTCGAGACATGAAAAACGCAATTTGAATTTCGATAATCGGCCCAGTAAAACGGAATATATAAAACTGTGTCCCCCTTCTTTTGCGCAGTTTACTTTTACTTTAATTAGTTAGCCAACATGCCATCCAGTTCATCATGATTATTAAAGAGTTTGTCCATATGTTCAGTTTATGTCAGATTTTAGAGGAGCAGCAGCACTAATATTGGTATAACTTTTTCTCTCATTATAAGCTTAAATTTAAAGCAACTGATTTTCAATGATAAAAACAGAGAGAGTTACGCGAGGAACTGTTATTTTTTAATTTTCGTTATGTTTTAGGAAATTACAAAATAAAAACCATTTATTTAAGATATTTCAATAAAAGTTTATTCAAAAATTAGTCATTGAAATTTAATGGCGTCCCATTACGATATGAATGTCTGAATTCGAATTTAACGAAACCAAAAACCTGATAGTATTATAAAATATTAAAATCTATGACATTTCGAAATAAGTTTGTTTTGTTGTATCAGCATACATAAATATACTTTGTCATAAGTCTTTAAAATGTCATTTCACAGTAATGCGGTACACTGAGTTATTTTTATTTTCTAGATGGAAAAAAAAACCTATTAATGCTTGAATCTTTGTTTAAGGAATACATTAAATTCAATTCTGTTTTACCTATCGAATCATATTACACATTTAGAACTCTTTGTTTTATTTATAAGCCGTTGAAATACAACAGGCTAAAGTATACTGAAACAAGATTGTAGTTTTGTAGAAAAATATTACAGAAAACTCAAATGGCCTTTACTAAGATTTATATTACTGAAAAACGTCACAGATTGGTAGTGAGTCATTGATCATAAAACTTTTAACTTATTAAGGGAATGTTTAGTAGTAAGATGCAAAACTACTTTTGCATTGAGCAAAAATAAAAAAATTCCCTTACAAAAATATTTCAAGATTGAACAATGTAAATATATGAAATATGAGTTAGTTATACAGAACTGAATATTCAAGTAATTTCGCAGTGGCCGAGGAAAAAAATAATTGATACAAGAAGGCAGTTTTAATTTTGACGCAAAATATAAAATAAATATTAAAGGGGAACTGCGTCAAAATTTATATTTTTGAAATGAGTAACAATAAATTTCATACGATTTTCAAATTATAACCGTAGTTTGTTTCCTGTGAGAAATAAAATCATTTTTGAAAAACGAAGAACTCTTAAGAATTGAAGACTTTAACTCTCTTGAAGAGCTCTCTTTAAAAGAGAAGAACTCTCTTAAAGAATTGAAGACTGACAATGCATTCCAAAAAGTACTCCACATGGTATTTTATTTAACATATTTCAGAAACCCAAGTTTAATACGACTGAAATATCCAATTTATGTTGAAACACATATTTAGCAACAGGAACGTTTTGAAAAATGAGTGTGGTTTATAAAGTCACTCTCGTACGCATCGACCATTTACCAAAGAGTACCCTGGAAAACTACATACCAACTTCCGGCACTTCTTGAAAAATGGATCATATAGGTGATCTTTTGGGCACTCTGTCATTCCCACATAGTTTCCGTCTCTTAGATTAAAGTCTAATAAAAGAGAAAAAGAGAATGGCTTTATTTCCCTGGCAGAAATGTCTTTATCGCAAGAAAGAACGTCCGCACTTATATCGTTGCAGAGGGCACAATGTGGATTTCTGAAAGCTTGATCATCATTTCCAGCCTTGTAAACCATCGCCATATAAGATTCGCAAGCTTTTTTCACCGATAATTGCCTCCAGGTAGAAGGGCAGGTTGACACTAAGTTTGCCCGGCATAACCTGACGTCATTTCTAAGATAAAAAGGCATATCGAAGATTAGGTTGCACGAGTGAAATTGGTTAGTGTCATTGTTAAGTTCCACTCCCCATTGTCCTACGTCAGATCTATACTTGAGGTTATTCCATATATAGTTATCGGCGACATCTGAGATATATTCCAGACTCTTGCATTCTAGTAAGACTAACCACGATATGAGACTAGATGGGGGCACAAAATTACATTCAGCACAATATCTGTTCTTATATGTTAAATGTAGGGAAACATCCGTCACCGGAATGGAAAATAGAGGATCACTGATATCATTTTCATCCTGGCATTTGTGTTGCAGTTCCTGGGGTCCAGTGAAATCTCGAGAGCACTTGTTAACAGCATAGGCTCCCATGTTGGGTTCATTTCCAAAGGGCATGCACGTCCATCGACTCACCTGACTTGTAGACGTACGGTAGAGAGAATCTTCGCAGCAGTCATTGAATATCGAACATAAGTGGTCACATTCGCAATTTGTTTCGTTAAATGCTGTGTGTCTAGTTGGCGAAGTGCACTTGTAGCGATTTTTGCACTCAGCGGTTATGAATTCTAGATATCTGCCCTCGAGACTACGTACATTCCATGCGGACAAAAACATGAAAGCTACAAATGAAAGTAACAGTTTTTCTACTTTCATTCTGAATTTGTGGATTTATTTTCAGCTTGCAATCCTAAATGAGCATAACATCTTCCAGACCAATCTAAAAAAATAAAATGTAATATTAAAATGCTTTATTATTCATTATTATGATCAAAACAGTATTAATATAAATGCACTGAAAATTATTTAGCAGTTTTATAAAAATAAGTTATAAATAAAATGTAATTTTATGTAAAGTTTCGATACACAGTACCCGCTGCTTATTAAAATTATTTCCGTTTCAAATAGATTTGAATTTATTAAGCGACTGAGTTTAATAAACGACGATTTGTATATTGCAAATAGTGATAACACGTTTTAAAAATATCTCGTAAATAATAACTAACAACTACTTTAATAATTAGTCCTAAAAACGTATACAATTAAATGCTAAACTTAAAATATTTACACAACTTTTAAATTAATTTTTTAACTTTTTATAAAAAAGATATTTATAATTATGTTCTTTATGAAAGTTTATCTCTCATAAACAACTATTTTCTTTGTGGTTTCTTGATACTGTTCAACAATAATTTTCAAATTTTACCCTCAATTTCGAATTTTATTAACCAGTGAGTTTAATAAACCGCGGGTATTGTATAAATATAACGTTAGTTTCCTCTTTTGGTGTAGACTATGCATTACCAATGCAAAAGCATTTAAATTATCCTTACGTAGATACACGATTATTTGAACCTAAATTGCAGTTTAAAGAATATATCTATCAAAGGAAATTACAATTCTAATATCGGTAACATTAACATGTGGAGATCAAGCATACGTAGAAATTTTGTGACCATGTTCTGTACTTTGAAGTAATTTTTGATGCAAGAGTTTCAAAATTTTTTAATTGTGTCTTTTCTCAGGCAAGGTAGTAAGGAATAACGCTACCATTTTTAATAATTAAGTTCAATCATAAATCTGAAATAAAACAGATGTGCAGGAAATAATAGATATGCGTTTAGCGTAATATCCATGTAACCTGAAAATAAGAACTAACTGTAAGCGTTTCTGAAATGAATATCTTTATTAATGCATTTCAAACAGAAATTTTTGTGAAAGAAAGTTTTATAACATTAAATCATCAGCACAATAAACAGATCAAATAGCAAGAATTGGATCCTGCAAGTTGAAAGATATACTTATACCAAAGAGGTAATTATTCTCTTATACCAAAAGGATAATTCTTTAAAAAAATCAGAATACCAATGAAAAAAATAACGCACGTATAATCCTAAGATTTATCGAATTCTTACAGTGTGTAGAGACATTAGGTTAATTGGAAGCACGCAAGATGAAAAATGAGGAAACGCCTTCACCGAGAATCGAACCACGGACCCCTGGAATACCGGCCCAGCGTGCAGAATCACTACACCACGGAGGCACGCTAGTAAGACGGGATAAATACCTTATAAGTGTGTAAAAATGAATATCTTCTGGTACATTCTTATCAGCATTTTATGTATTAAACTTAATAATTGAAGACAATCTGAACATACGTAATTTACGAGAAAAATACAGTCATTAGAAATATTAAATGACTTGAGTTGCTAATATAGCTGCAATAATCAGTAGAGAAGTAATATTAATTTCATACAAGAAGGAAATTAATTTCCTTTTCTGGCTGAAACCAGGACAGACCAGTAGGAGTTTTATAATCTTTTACTTTGAATATTTTTACATGTTAGCAAATTCTTACGAAGCCTCATTCTCAAAAAGCTACCTCAGATGATGGTTAATACAGTTTGAGATGGAGTTCCAGTCATGAATAAGTCAGGAAGTGTTTATGACTGGAGTGTCTTCAGAACTCAAGCAATAAAAATGTATCGTTTCTCAATTCTTCTGAAAAATGCTGGTAATGGGAAAGTGATACCATACACTTCTCGGATTCCATCTTGTGGGGTTTCTATTACAGTCTTGTAACTCTCGTGGGCTTAATCTATATTTAATAATCCAATCGAATGAAAGGTGAAATTCTAAAAAACAGTACTTGACACAAATTTAAAATTTATCTAACACATTTATTTCTCCTTCTTCTCACAAGTAGTTTATTTTGCTTTAAGCTTAGGTCTGGCTTATGATCCAAAGAAACAAGTGTAAATTCCTTTTTGAATTTTAAAATTCGGAAGTGTATGTTTTGCTGTATTTAATTAAAAATAAACCAAAATATTGCCGAAAGATTAGTCGTCTTACTAGAGCCTCTCAATTGAAAAAAATTGGAAATTATCCTTTAGTAATGTTATCATTTTATTTTCCAGTTTTGCATTTAACAGTAAGTTCAGAATTGCCTTTTACTGGATATATCTTGCTCTATAACCTAACGCTGCTTCAAACATATCGGAAAATGTTAACCATTCTTCAATAGCATCAGAAAATGTAGATAAGGATAAAACAGGAAGTTTAATTTCAATGGAATCGCATGCTTTCAATAGCACTGTTTGTGTTGCTACTGCAGAATGAATTCTACTTTCTTTACATCTTGAAATTGCTATATCTAAATCAGCTAACATTTCATCATACGTTTCAAACAGTTCTTTCTCCATGCAGTACGTGTCAGTTTTTTCATCTTCGCTACACAACCCAATTATTTTAGCGAAAATATCATTTATTTCTTCTATCAAAAACATAATTCGAACCCTTCTAACATTTAAGCTAGCAAAACATAATTAATTTATTTCATCTAAGGTTTTGTTCTTTAAACGAGTAATTGAGGGTTTAAGTGCCTTTTTTTGATTAAGTAAAGTTTTGAAGCTCTCCATTATGAATATATAGAATACACTCAAGAACATGAAATTGCATTAAAGCAATTAATTTTTTTACATTAGCTTTAACCTTACAGAAACGTTATATAGTAACTATCAGACATCAGATTATGATTAGATTAGTATTTATTTATTAATATTACTTTTTATCACACAGTTATACATCATAATTAAAAAACAGCTTTTAGACATAAAGCTTTGAAAGGTTCACCCTTATAAATACCTAAATAAATCACAGAAATTATCAAAAATATCTTGAATTACATAACTTACATGATAACGTTTAAAAAAGCATTTACATATAATGAAAATAATTCAGAAAAGACATTTCATTATCTTGAATGTTTTTCAAAATTATTTACTATTTAACTGACATAAAACATTTTGAAAATATGAATCGACTACAGATACCTGCAGAAACTCGTTAGTGGGCTAAACATTATAATCACAAAATTATTCTTATTTTTTCTGTTCAGTTAGCCGTATCAACCGCCATCAATACTGCAAATATGAATCATAATCAATAAATTGTGGCATTAAGGAAACCTCTTGAAAATGCAATGGAAATTAAGAACTAGCACTTAAACAACATACAAATTATAAAGTAACTTTCGGTAAACCTTGAAATATTTTTACATTGAAAAGAAATTTACGTTTAGTGTGTCAATACTAGTGAAACAGTACTTTATTGCGGGGAGGGGGGAGCTTGAGATGGCATTTTTAAATATTTCAGTTTAACAATTTTGAAGAAATAGATTTAAATATTTTTTAAAAAATCACAGTTACTTTTTATGTGTTATTAATTAACTAGTTTAGTAAAAGAATTATTTCTACAATATTAATTAATTCCTGCAAAAATCTGAAGAGGAAACTGTCACTTAATATTTAATCTGAAATTACGCAAGGAACAAAAAGTAATTCAAAGGTTTTATGAGACATAATTAAGAATGATTGTTAATATACTCTTTTGCAAAAAAATCGAAACGCCATGAAGGATGTGTTTGTTTTTGACGAAATTGAATATATGCATAGCTTATGGCATCTTTAGTTGTTTCTTTACAGAACAGAAACAAAAGCAACAACAACAAACAAAAAAAAAAAAAAAAAAAAAAAAAAAAAAGATAAATTTTCCGTCTCTGTTACTGGTTTTATACTTTGCGAATTGCGCACTAGAATTGCGCGCTGTGATCTCAATTCCTGTTCCTTTAGCTTGAAACTTTAATCATTTGCATGTTCGATCAAAGATATCAAATTTCGTCACGATCGCAAAGGGCCTTCTTGGTGCTTCGATATTTTTGCAAAAGAGTGTATATTTGATAGAAATATATACAAATTTGTCTTCAGTTTTGCGAAAATCTTTAATAATTCTGGCCAACATTCCGCAGTCTTGCGTGTATAAGCCGCATCATTCATTTTAGCCACTAATAAAAAATATGTGGATATGGAAACTGAATGGAGCAGTGAATAAATTTAGTTTCAGGTGAGACTTTCGTTATTCGAGAAATAACACCGGAACGTTTTCCTGCTAAACCCCGAGCTCCGTCACTGCATATGGCAATGCACATAATCCAAGGAATATCATTCTCAACATAAAATTGCCAATTACTTTGAAAATTTCATTTGCAGTCGCACTGTCATGAAGATTCTCAAAATAAATACTCTTCGGCAATTCGTGTCTCTTCTTCGAAACGTATGTAAACTAATAATTGAACAAAGTTCATTATATCAGTACTTTAATGCAGGGTTTCGTAAACTGTGGGTCGGAACTCCCAAGGGGGTAGAGAGACCTGCAGCAGGGGGTCGCAAAACATTTATAGCAGTTTTGATATTTCTTTAACTTATTATAATAATTTTACAATGCATCTGAAAATAGATAAAGATAAGACAATACAGACAAAGAAAAAAACGAAAATGTTTCGACGCATTCTTTTTAGAATATAAACTTTCATTTTGCTTGCTTTTCACGTGACGCTGTCATTTCGTCTGCTATTTATTTAAAATGTCCACATTGTTGTTCTATGTCTTAAAATTATAAATTAAAGTTAACGACCTAAAACTGCAATAGTATATTACAGTACAAGTGAAAAAATTGACAGTTGCACTCACGCGTGTGTCGAATTTGCGCAATACTTTTGGGCTCCTACAAAATTTTTGTAAATATTATGGTGTCCTGGGGATTCGCGAAAAAATCTCAGTGATAAAAGAAAAAAGGTTTAAGAAACCCTGCTTTAATCCAATTGCAATGCGAATACTCAATGTATTTTTTGAATAAGCCTCTTTTATAGAATTTGCCATTTCATGTATTTGTCCACTTAGTGCATTATTTGATAACGGAATATTATTAAGTTCATTTGCCACATTTCGTTGAATAATCTTAAAACAATATCTTTAGCTGCTGTTAATATAAGATTTCCTCCAATAGTATGAGCTTGCCCAGTCTTGGCAATTCTGAGGCTTGTAACTATCTTCCAAAGCTTTTTCAGTTGAAGTAACAAAATCTTTCATTACTTGTTTACTATGTTTCAACTCCGATAATTTCCTTATAAAATATTCTTTAGATTCATCCTTTAAATTGTCATGCTAGATTCAAGATGTCTTTTAAGAAACCATGGTTTCATACTTTGTTTGGATAATACTAGTTCACCACATACAATACATTGCTGTTGAGGGTCCATTTCATCTCCATTCCACGTAAACCCAAATGATAAGTAATTTTCATTAATTTTTTTTACAAATAGTTCTCTTTCCTTTTCATTATTCTTAGTGATAATTAATTGTCCTGGATCCATCACCTGTGAATTACTTGCCCGCTTAGTCAATCCTAGACATCGTTCCGTTTTTAAAATTCAGGTTTGTTCTATTAATGTTTCACGAATATTCAAATGCACAATATATTACGAGTTCTTCAGAAACAAACGACGATATTCTCAAATCGGGCAGAAAAGTAATGAATAAAAATCAACAAAAAGACAAAATACCCGCTGTTAGGGACAGCAAGTCGACGTAAAATAATTAGTCTAATTGCAAATAGAGCAATATGAGGCCGGAACATCTGGCGACGTAAAGTGTGGACACGCTCATAAATCGATCAACTTTAAACGAATTAATGAGATAGCTAGAGGGAGGACATTTGTCCCCGTGTGCAACATTCAGAGTGCGCGAAATTGATGTTGGGAATTTTTAAAATTAAATAAATGTTTTCAATTTTTGATAAACAGGAGGGTGCATGAAATTTTCAGTTGTCGCAAGCACTGAAAATCCTAGATCCTGTCAGATAATATAGGAACTTATTTTTATTTCCTTTTAAATACAACATCCATTTCTATTAACCATTTTAAAAACATCATTTATGACAAAATCTGTTATGTCAATGGCTAAAAGAATATTTGTAAAAACAAAAACGGATTGTTTTGCAAAAGTCTCTTAGTGGCTATTTACCCTGAACAAAGCTAGGATCACTTAAATTTACGAGTGTTTGAAGAAAAACGTAAACAGGATGTTGGGTTATTTCACTTTTAAATTTAGTAGTTAAAATAGTTTGTTTATTTGCTTACCACCTATTTTTTTCTTGCGTACCACGAGTTGAGAATCGCTGATCTAGAGCATTGGATATTTCAAACTCTAAATATTGCTCATGTTATCCTTGGACAATCGGCTAACCTGCATGTTAAAATGTAAATCGTAAATAAATCGTTTGCCTTGTATTTTCCTTTAAACAACCTGCAACCACAACTAAACTCGTGCAGCGCTGTGTAATGATTACTCAACAACAATGGATTTTATACTCAGTCATCAAATACGAGCTGCTGTTTTTCCATTTGTTTGTATGTATATCTGTTTCTAATCATTCGCATATATCAACCACACCCGCGTCTTTTTTCTGTTTTTGTGCTGAAAAATTTGCTGCTCATACACGAGAGAATACGGTAATTGAAGTTGAGGATATTTTGCGACCTAAAACTGGATAAATATTACTTAAGAGCAAAATTAAATAGATAAAGATTAATAAGCTTACTGTAGAGGCATTAACGTTTTCACTGAAGACACAGTAAATTTTTAGAAACAAGGAAATATGAAACACCAACTATTTCCTTGCTGAAATTGAATCACGTATCTTCCAGCGCTAACTGGCCATGCAAAACTCTTACCCACGAAAGTATGCACGCGAAAGAATGATAATTCCTTCATACCATTACTTTAGATTAAAAACTGAATTACTACACCGTTGAAGAACAGATGAAAATGGTGAAATTCATCTGTTCATGGTCACAGAACTATGGTGAATTCTTCAATTGTGAATTACTACACGATTGGAGAACAGATGATGATTTAAAAAACGCCAATTTCGTTTTCATGTATTATGTTTGTAACGTGTACTATTTAATAATTTAAAATACACTATAGATCTTTTTTATGATTTTTATTTTGTGTCTACACACAAATCACTGCTCACTTAGATATGAGGCATAATGCTTTCTCTTTGTAAAATCCATTAAATTAAAATTTAATGCATCACTATAGTACACTATTTGATATATGATGAATTAAATTAAAATTTAATGCATCATATATCAAATAGTGTACTATAATGAAAACATCGATAATATATAATATTTCCAAAAACTATTTTATGATAAAACTTATTTAGCGTTAGATAGGAAAAATTTACCTGTAAGAAAAGTCACGTAATATCAGCCTCTTAATAGAAAAGAAATAACTGTAATTTGCCATTGAAAACTGTTTTACCTTATATATCTATACAATGTCACATCTTTCACCTGTCAGTTGAACATTTGCTACCTTCATAAAATGATGTTATGCACCTGAAATGTCTCTAGTCTTATCCAAAAAAATTTATTATTGAATAGCATGCCATGGTAAACAAAATCAAGACCATATGCATTTATAAAAGATGTAAAATGGGAAAACTAGTCATACGTATTCTGCTTTTTCAAATACAGAGATGAGCAGCATAATACAAACATTGTGACGAAAAATAATATTTTTTATATTAGAAAACGTTAAATTATCTGTGTTGTATTGATAGGTTATAAGAGAACCTTACTATCAGACGGTACAGCAATTTTTAGTTTATTAAAAAAAGCAGAAATTTGCCAAAAAATTACTTCCCATAAATGGGCTTGTTGTTTGAATAGAGTCTCGTCCGCTAATAAATTTATTTCCTCAATGTACGTTGACAAATGATGTAAATTGCATAGCGATAATAATAAATAAATGTGCTGCGGCTCAGAAGCTATTATTAGACATAATGTTTTTTTAAAAGATAACTTTAGTAATTAAGTTCTTTTGGTGAGGGGTATTATATTAATAGATTTCAAAGTGCGATCCTTGGTAGCTTCGAGAAGATCAAGTTGGTCCGGTGTTTTTCAACATTTGCTCTATGACACTTGCTACAGTATCTGTTATTTTAGTCTTCAAAATATCACTAGCGCGAATTAGTTTGAAAAGAACTTTGTCCTTTATTTGCCCTTTAAATGTTTCAGGATAGAGTCTACAATCTCAAAGCTTGCGGTATCTTGGATGGCAACAATGCCGCTACTTTATTTAAAACTTCAGAAAAAATCCTGACGCTCTTATAGTATATAAAGGATTGCATCTATAGGGACTTCTAAACCACCGTTGATGGGTGATTTCATTTAATGATGTCGAATAAAACACCTTTTCTATTTCATCGACGCCATTTCATTACTATCCTCTGGCACTATCAATTGTTACTATAGATAAAAGGCTGTAGAGTATATTAGATTTGACGAAGCAGGAATCATGAAGAATGTGCAATGCCGCTGTCGGCACTCGTACTCTTGGCCTTCTATTTGCTAGACGGACATGCTTATTGATTACGCCATGGGTAAAATCCTAGTATACGGTGCAGCCTTGGCGCGATTTTGAAAATTATCGCCAACACCAAAAATGATCCAAAGAACGTCTATATATATACTATACACTATATACTATGGTTGTATATACACTATATATATAGCATATATTATGTATAACCATATATATTCTTTGAGTGATCTGTTTTATGTGTAAGTCTCTAATAAATCAGACTGGATCGCAGTTAAAGTAATAAATAGAGGAGCGTTATTCCACACAACCTTTATTGACGAACACCAAAGACGAACTGATACATATACATAATTATGACATCACAGTTTCTTTTTACAAACAAACACTACAGCCATCTATTGGATATCTAAGGATACATAATCCTAAACTTAACACTCCAGTTACAGCGGCGTTTCACATTATCTTCTCGTACAAGTACATCATCATTAATTTTAAACACGGGAGAATTCTTTGGAGTTTTTGAAAACATGACTGATCTTAATTCTTACAAATATTCTTTATAAAACCTTTCCAAAAATGCTCTAATATTAATTGCCTATGCTTCCATCTTTAATCAATTGAGATCTTGTAGATTCTAGTTTAGATTGAGGTGAAGGTAAAACAGTCAATCTAGATCCAGTTATAAAATGAGATGGTGAAAGAGGATCAGGTTCATTTGGTTCATTGTATACATAAGTTATAGGTCTAGAATTAATAACAACTTCAACTAAAACAGTATACAGTTCTTCATAATGTAAAGAAGCTTTACCTAAGATATGTTTTAAACAAATTTTTACAGATCTTACCAAACGTTTCCAGAATCCGCTCCACCAAGGAGCACCTTCTACAATAAATTTCCATTAAAACCCATTTTTCCCAAGGAAATTTAGAACTTTTTCATCTTTACACAATTTATTAAATATTTTAATTCACGATCAGCAGTTTTAAAATTATCAGAATAAATAACTCTACAAATACCCCTACGTGCAAAACATCTACGTAAGGCTTGAATGAAACACTCTGTACTTAAATTCGATAACAATTCTAAATGGACTCCTGGAGTCACTGCACAGGTAAACAATGAAATATACACTTTTGTACCATCCTTTAAATACAAAGAGCCAGCGAAATTATGCCACTTACCTCAAATGGTTGAGCTTTCTCCACTCGGTCAGCTGGAAGAGGAGCCGATATCTCGTGTCCAGCTTTAGCATTTTTTTTTTTTTACAAAATCTACAATCATGTAACACAGATTTTACAAAACGTCTAGCTTTTAAAATCCAAAATTTACCTCTTACTTGCACTAAAGTTTCATTTACACCACTATGAAGTACCTTTTCATGACAATTCAAAATAATTAAACGAGAAAAATAATTATTTGGTAATATTATAGGCTGAATTTCATCGACATCTAATGATGATTTCACTCATCTACTTCCAAATCTTAAACAACCTTTTTCATCCATTACTGGATTTAACCCAAACAATTTGGAATTATGAGATAATGGTTTTTTTTACATTTAACATCATTCAACTCTGCAAAAAAATACTCACCTTGTGATAAGATAATCCAATAACACATAGCATTACATATTTCATTTTTGGTCACAGGACCAATCACTCTATTCTGTGACTTTAAATTATTAATGAATCAATATATATGATGTGACTCTTAAAAGTTTACCTAAGTCACCAAAATTCTCTAACACAGGTTGTAAAGGTTGAACACTAACGGTAACTCGAGTCACCACTCTTTCTTCAGCACTATCTACTATATTACAATGCTCATTTACTTTAGGCCAATTTATTTCATTTTGATGAAGCCATGGAGGTCCATTCCACCACACTCCATTTACTACAAGCTCACTCACTTTAAAACCATGTGTGATTTTGTAGGCTGGATTTTCTCAGTCAGGACAATTATACCACATACTCAGGGATGGTTTGTCATGAATTTCCGACACTTGATTTTGTATGAATGTTTTCCATCGCTGTGGCGAGTTTTTTTTATCCAATGAAGCAAAATAAGAGAATCTGTCCATAAATGAATCTTAGATTGAGGAAAATGCACATGGACTGTAGTTACAAGTCTTGCACCTAACACTGCTGCCATGAGCTCGAGTCTTGGTAAAGATAATTTTTTCAGGGGTGCCACACTGCTCTTGGCTATCACTAAACTTGCTCCAGAATATTTTAAGCTGCGGAATTTCACGTACACTGCTGATCCGTAAGCACTTTCAGATGAATCCCCAAAACAATGTAGTTCTAGTGTTTCATCTAGTGTTTCAGGCGTTTCATCAACATCACGAAAATACCACCGAGGTATCTGGATATTAGGCAGATCACATAGTTGCCTATACCATTTTTTTCCACTTGTCTTGCAATTCTGGTGGGATAATTTCATCCCAATCAACACCTTTCAGCCATAAATCCTGAAACAGAACTTTTGCTTGAATAACATATGGAGCAAGAAACCCAACAGGATCGAAGATTTTTGAAGCGGCTTTTAAAACACAACGTTTTGTTTGGTCATTTTACTGGATAAAATCAATAACGTCTTGTGCATTAAAACAGAAGATATCCTTAATTGTATCCTATTGAAGTCCAAGAATCTTTGAGGGGGAATCACAGTCAGGCAATTTAAAGCTAACGAAGTTGTCACTTGATTTATACTGTTTTTTTACAGTATCCGAATTAGAATTCCATTTGGTCAAAGTCATTGATGCCTTTTTCATTATATCATTGGCTTCATGATACAGGGGTTGGACAAAAATATGGAAACACCTTTAAAAAAACATGTTTCTTTGCTTAATATGGTGTAGGAAACCCGTTGGCATCCAAAACAGCTTGCAGTCTTCTCGGAATGGATAAATACAGTTCCTGTATGTTTGCCAAGGGAATATTATACCATTCTTCCTTCAAAACGGTGGCAAGTTCAGATAACGATGTTGGCGGTGGATAACGAGAACGCACTTTCCGTTCCAATGTAGACCACAAAGGTTCGATAATATTCAGGTCTGGTGACTGTGGTGGCCAGGGGAGATGGGACAACTCATCCTCGTGCTCAGAAACCAGTTCTGGACAATGTGAGCTGTGTGAACAGGGGCTTTGTCGTCTTGGAAGACACCATCACCATCGGGGAACAAAGTTTGTACCATGGGATGAACTTGATCGGCCAAAATGTTCACATAAGTCTTGGCAGTCATGTGCCCTGACACAGTTATCATGGGGCTAGTAGAGAACCACGATATGGCTGCCCAAACCATAACAGAACCCCGGCCATATTTCACTCTTGGCAACAAGCAGTCTGTATTATAGGCTTGAGATGGCGTTCTCCAGACGTAAACTCGGCCAGAAGTGGGAAACAATGTGAAAGAAGACTCGTCAGACCATATTACTCGCTTCCACTGCTCTATAGTTCAGGCTTTATGACTTAAACACCACCTTTTCCTGTTACGGGCATTAGCATCACTGATGAGTGGCTTCTCAATTGCAGCACGGCCAGCAATTCCCTGTTTATGAAACTCCCTTCTAATTGTTTTGGTACTCACAGGGTAACACAACATTCATTTCAGCAGTAACTTTTGCAGCTGTGGTCTTCTTATTTTTCGTCACAATTGCCCTTAATGATCGTCTGTCACGATCACTCAGGACACACTTTCGTCCGCGCTGTGATTTAGCAGATGACGTTTTTCCACTTTTCAAATATGCGGAATAAATCTTCGATACAGTACCTCTTGAAACACTAAACACCTCGGCTACCTTGCTTACGGAAGCACCTACCATACGTGCTCCAACAATTTGCCACGTTCGAAGTCTGTTAACTCTGACATAATGCAATGACAACCTCACATAACAGTACTCCGACAACAACTGAACTGTTTAGCACATTTACGAAGTTGTATAGGTGGCGTCAGTAGTCAAAAACGCCAGCGCCACCTACATATTTCATTAAA